CACTGCTGTCCCCGCAGGGTCCCCAGCCGCAGCGGCTCCCGCGAGTCCCTGGTGCCACCACCCGAGCTGGACCTGACCGGGGACAACGTCACCGTGCGGCCGGTGCACGGCAGCGTGGTGGGAGAGAGGTTCTGCTTCCAGGTAAGGAGGCACCCTTGTCCCTCGTCCCCTTGTCCCATTATCCCATTATCCCTTGTCCCCTTGTCCTTTGTCCCATTGTCCCTTTTCCCATTGTCCCCTTGTCTCCTTGTCCCTTGTTCCCTTGTCCCCTTGTCCCTCGTCCCCTTGTCCCATTATCCCATTATCCCTTGTCCCCTTGTCCTTTGTCCCATTGTCCCTTTTCCCATTGTCCCCTTGTCTCCTTGTCCCTTGTTCCCTTGTTCCCTTGTCCCCTTGTCCCTTGTCCCTTTGTCCCCTTGTCCGATTATCCCATTGTCCCTTGTCCCCTTGCCCCCATATCCCCATGACCCCCACCCACATCTCCATTATCCCCTTGTCCTTTTGTCCCTTGTCCCTCGTCCCCATACCCCCTTGTCCCTTGTCCCTTGTCCCCACAGGACAACTGCGAGCGCCTGGAGCTCTCCCTGACCCTTTGGGTCTACGAGGGCCGTGACCTCCCGGCGCGGCGCCGCCTGCGCTGCCACCTCCACCTGGACGGCGCCGTCTTCGCCCGCACCACGGCCAAGCCGGCCGGCGCCGACGGCCAACTCTTCTGGGGCGAGCTCTTCCACTTGGCCGCGCTGCCGCCGGCACGCGCCCTCACCGTCGCCCTGTGCCGCGACGACCACCCCGGCTGGCAGCCGGTGGCCGCTGTCACCATCCCGCTGGCCGAGCTGGCGGCGGCAGGGCAGCCCCTGGAGCGTTGGTACCCCCTGAGCGGCGGCGGCGGCGAGCGGGCGCCGGCGGTGCGGCTGCGCGGGCGTTACCGCCAGGTGAGGGTGTTGCCCATCGTGCGCTACAAGGAGTTGGCGGAGTTCATCACCTTCCACTACCGGGAGCTGTGCGGCCGCCTGGAGCCGGCCATCGCCGCGCGGCACAAGGAGGAGCTGGCCGGAGCTTTGGTGCGCGTCCTGCAGAGCACCGGCAAGGCCAAGGTGGGGAGGGGTGGGTGAGGATGGGTTGGGTTGGGTTGGGTTGGATGAGTTGGGTTGGGTGAAGATGGGATGAGTTGGAATGAGTTGGATGGGGTAGGGTTGAGTTGGTTTGGTTTGGGTTGGGTGAAGATGGGTCGGGTTGGGTTGGGTTGAGATGAATTGGGTTGGGTGAAGATGGGTCGGGTTGGGTTGGGTTGGGTTGGGTGAGGATGGGTTGCGTTGCATGAGGATGGGATGGGTTGGGATGAGTTGGGTTGGGTTGGGTTGGAAGAGTTGGGTTCGATGAGTTGTATTGGATGGGTTGGGTTGGGTGAGGATGGGATGGGTTGGTTGGGTTGGGTGAAGATGGGTTGTGTTGGATGAGTTGGGTTGGGTGAGGATGGGATGAGTTGGATTGGGTTGGGTTGAGTTGGTTTGGTTTGGGTTGGATGAGGATGGGATGCATTAGGTTCGGTTGGGATTGGTGGTGTGGGATGGATGCGTTGGGTTGGGTTGCGTTGCGTTGGGTTGGGCTACACATGGATGGGTTGGGATTGATGGGATGGAATGAGTTGAATTGGGTTGGGTTGGTTGAGTTGGTTTGGGTTGGGTTGGGATTGGTGGTACGGGATGGATGCATTGGGTTGGGTTGGGTTGGCTTGGCTTGGGCTACACTTAGATGAGTTGGGTTTGGATTGATGGGATGGGATGAGTTGGGTTGGGTTGAGATTGGTGGGATGGGATGGGTGCGTTGGGTTTTGTTGGGTTGGGTTGGGTTGGGATGAGATGGATGCGTTGGGTTTGGTTGGGCTGGGCTGGCTTGGATTGGGTTGTATTGGGTTGTGTTGTGTTGGGTTGGGTTGGGTTGAGTTGGGTTGGGTTGGGTTGGGTTGAGTTGTGTTGGGTTGAGTTGGGTTGGGTTGGGTTGAGTTGGGTTGGGTTGGGACAAGACAGTAGACATGGAGAACACAACTCAGGAGAGTGCCAGAAGACCCAACATGGTTGACTTGGTCATTTTGGGGTCACGGGTGCCACCGAGCCCCTTGGGGTCACGAGTGCCACCAAACCCTTCCCTGCAGTCATTCCTGATCGACCTGGGCGTGGCCGAGCTCGACCGCTTCGACGAGCACGAGGCCCTGATCTTCCGCGAGAACACCTTGGCCACCAAGGCCATCGATGAGTACATGAAGCTGGTGGGGGCCAAGTACCTGCAGGACACGCTGGGTACGCGCAGGGGACACAGGGGGCATCCCGGGGGGTGGCAGGGGGCAGGACACCTCGGGTGGGACCGGACACCGGGGGTTGTGGGACACCCCTGACCATCCATGGGGACGTGGTGGTGACACCTCGGTCCCCTCATGGGCTGTCCCCTGTCCCCAGGGGTGGTTGTCATGACTTCTCGGTCCCCTCATGGGTTATGGGACACCCCTGACCACCCATGGGGACATGGTGTGGGTTCCTCTTGTCCATCGCTACCCTGGTGACACCTCGGTCCCCTCACGGGCTGTCCCCTGTCCCCAGGGGAGGTGGTGGCCCAGCTCTGCAGCTCCGAGGAGAGCTCCGAGGTGGATCCCAGCAGGTGCTCGGGGCTGGAGCTGTCGGAGCACCAGCAGCACCTGCGGCAGGTCTGCGAGGAGACCCTGCGGCGCATCACCGACGGCTCCGAGTGAGGGACAGCCGGGGACACCGGGGGGACACCCGGGGTGGCACCAGGGACAGGAGAACCTGGGAGAAGCTGGGACATGGGGATGGGATCAGGGACAGGAGAACCTGGGACACGGGGGTGGCACCAGGGCCAGGAGAAGCTGGGAGAAGCTGGGACACGGGGGTGGCACCAGGGACAGGATGGGCGCTGGCACCAGGATGGGCGCCAGGGGTTCTGTTGGGGACTGTCACCATCCTGGGGTGGGTGCCGGGGTGGATCTGGGGACAAATTTGGGGACAAATTTGGGGACATCCTATGGTGGACATGGTGGTGGGCACCAAGATGGACTTGGGGACAAGTCTGGGGACAGGAGTGGGGGACAGGGATGGGGATGGACACCAGGATGAACCTGGGGACAAGTTTGGGGACAGGGATGGAGATGGACACCAGGATGGACCTGGGGACAAGTTTGGGGACAGGGATGGGGATGGACATCAGGATGGACCTGGGGACAAGTTTGGGGACAGGGATGGAAATGGACACCAGGATGGACTTGGGGACAAGTCTGGGGACAAGTTTGGGGACAGGAATGGAGATGGACAGCAGCATGGACCTGGCAGAAGTTTGGGGACAGGGACGGGAACAGAGATGGACACCAGGATGGACTTGGGACAAGTCTGGGGACAGGGATGGGGACAGGGATGGAGATGGACACCAGGATGAACCTGGGGACAAGTTTGGGGACAGGGATGGAGATGGACACCAGGATCGACCTGGGGACAAATTTGGGGACAGGGATGGAGATGGACACCAGGATGGACCTGGGGACAAGTTTGGGGACAGGGATGGAGATGGACACCAGGATGGACCTGGGGACAAGTTTGGGGACAGGGATGGAGATGGACACCAGGATGAACCCAGGAACAAGCCTGGAGACACAGATGATGATGTTCACCACCCCTGAGCTGCACATGAGCACAAAACCCACTCCACGCCCACCCACACATGGTGCCACCACCCACCCCATCACCCCGTGGTGGCACTGGCAGGTCCCCTGTCCCCAGCACGGTGTCCCTGGGCAGGTCGTTCCCGGCGGAGCTGGGCGAGGTGTTTGCGGCGTGGCGCGAGGCGTGCGCGGCGCGCGGCAAGGCGGCCATCGGCCAGCGCCTGGTGTCGGCCTCGCTCTTCCTGAGGTTCCTCTGCCCGGCCATCATGTCCCCGAGCCTCTTCGGCCTCGTCCAGGAGTACCCCGGCGAGGCCACCGCCCGCACCCTCACGCTGGTGGCCAAGGTCATCCAGAACCTGGCCAACTTCACCACGTAGGTGGCCGTGGGGACGTGGGGCGGTGGGGACATCCCGTCTGTGCTCTGCGGAGGGTCCTGGGGCAGTTGCGTTGTCCCCGAGTTTGGGTTGTCCCTAAGTTTGGGTTGTCCCGAAATTTGGGTTGTCCCCAAGTTTGGGTTGTCCCCAAATTTGGGTTGTCCCCAAGTTTAAGTTGTCCCCCATGCATCATAGGACAGTTGCATTGTCCCCAAGTTTGGGTTGTCCCTAAGTTTGTGTTGTCCCCAAGTTTGGATTGTCCCCAAATTTGGATTGTCTCCAAATTTAGGTTGTCCCCAAGTTTGGGTTGTCCCCAAGGTACCATGGGACAGTTGGGTTGTCCCCAAGTTTGGATTATCTCCAAGTTTGGGTTGTCCCCAAGTTTAGGTTGTCCCCCATGCATCATAGGACAGTTGCATTGTCCCCAAGTTTGGGTTGTCCCTAAGTTTGGATTGTCCTTGAGTTTGGGTTGTCCCCAAGTTTGGGTTGTCCCCAAGTTTGGGTTGTCCCCCGTGCATCATGGGACTGTTGGCTTGTCCCCAGGTTTGGGTTGTCCCCAAATTTGAGTTGTCCCCAAGTTTAGGTTGTCCCCAGTGCACCATGGGGCGGTTGTGTTGTCCCCAAGTTGGGTTGTCCCCAAGGTACCACAGGGCCCTTGGGTTGTCCCCAACACGCCATGGGACAGTTGGGTTGGATGGTCCGTGCTCCTGAAAGTGGCCTGTGACCATGACCGTGGTGGTGGCCCACGTGACCATGGTGGTGACCCCTTGACCATAACAATGACCCCAGACCATGGTGGTGACCCCTTGACCATGATGATGGATCAAGTGACCATGATGGTGACCCCTGACCATGACCATGGTGGTGACCCCAGACCATGACGATGACCCCAGACCATGACCATGGTGGTGACCCCAGACCATGACGATGACCCCAGACCATGACCATGGTGGTGACCCCAGACCATGACGATGACCCCAGACCATGACAATGACCCCAGACCATGACCATGGTGGTGACCCCAGACCATGATGGTGACCCCACCGCCGCGTGGTTGTCCCCAGCTTTGGCGAGAAGGAGCCCTACATGACCTTCATGAACGCCTTCCTGGAGCAGAACTGGGCCACCATGACCGAGTTCCTGCAGGCCGTGGCCACCCCAGAGGCCAGCGCCCACATGGCCACCTACGAGGGCTACGTGGACCTGGCCCTGGAGCTCGCCACGCTCCACCTGCTGCTCTGTGACATCTTCTCCAGCCTCGACCAGGTGCCACCACCCCTCTGTCCCCAGCGGGGACCTCCGTGTCCACCGGGCCACCCGTGATGTCCCCGTGGTGTCCTCGCAGGCCACGCAGGAGGAGCTGGAGCCGCTGCCCACCATCCTCAGGGCCATCAGGGAGGGGACACGTGTCCCCGTGTCTGTCCGCCTCAGCTCCACCGCCAGGGGAAGGTACTGAGGGACACCTGGGGACACTGGGGACATCTGGGGACACTTGGGTGTCGGGATTTGGGGTCCCTCTGGTCCTGTCTGGGGTTGGGAGATGGGTCTGATCCCCAATTTGGGGTCTTGGTGATCTCACCAGGGTTTGGTGTCCCTCTGGTCCCACCAGGATTGGGGGTCCTCTCGATCCCACCAGGATTTGGGGTCCTTCTGATCTCACCAGGGTTTGGGGTCCTTCTGATCCCATTTGGGATCAGGAGATGGATCCCATCCCACCAGGGTTTGGGGTCCCCTCAGATCCCACCAGGGTTTGGGGTCCTTCTGATCTCACCAGGGTTTGGGGTCCCCTCTGATCCCACCAAGGTTTGGGGTCTCCGTGATCTCACCAGGGTTTGGGGTCCTTCTGATCTCACCAGGGTTTGGGGTCTCTGTGATCTCACCAGGGTTTGGGGTCCCTCTGATCCCATTTGGGATCAGGAGATGGATCCCATCCCACCAGGATTTGGGTTCTCTGTGATCCCACCAGGATTTGGGGTCCCCTCTGATCCCACCAAGGTTTGGGGTCTCTGTGATCTCACCAGAGTTTGGGGTCCCTCTGATCTCACCAGGATTTGGGGTCCCACCTGATCCTACCAGGGTTTGGGGTCCCTCTGGTCTCACCAGGATTTGGGGTCCCCCTCATCCTGGCCACACTGGGGTTGTCCCATCTCTGTCCCCTGTCCCTCCCCACCCCAAACCCTCTTGTCCCCTGTCCCCTTGTCCCCCTGTCCCCTTGTCCCTTGTCCCCTTATCCCCATGTCCCCTGTCCCCTTATGCCGTTGTCCCTTGTCCACTTGTCACTTGTCCCCCTGTCCCTTTGTCCCCTATCCCCTTATCCCCCTGTCCTCTTAACCCCTTGTCCCCTTGTCCCCCTGTCTCCCTGTCCCCATATCCCCTTGTCCCCTTGTCCCTTATCCCCCTCTCTCCTTAACCCCTTATCCTCCTGTCCCCTTGTCCCCCTGTCTCCCTGTCCCCATCCCCTTGTCCCTTGTCCCCTATCCCCTTATCCCCCTGTCCCCATCCCCTTGTCCCTTGTCCCTTATCCCCTTATCCCCTGTCCCCTTGTCCCTTGTCCCTTGTCCCCATCCCCTTGTCCCTTGTCCCCTATCCCCTTATCCCCCTGTCCCCATCCCCTTGTCCCGTGTCCCCACAGCCCCTCGGAGCCCCCCAAGCCGGGCTTTGTCCCCCCGCGGGACCTGGGCAAGCACAGCCCCCTCATCAAGAGCCAGTCCCTGACCAGCGTCCGGCGCCTCCGCGGTGGCCGCGAGGAGGGGACGGCGACAGGGACAGACCCGGAGCCGTCCCCGGAACCGTCCCCGGTGCCGCTCCCGGTGCCGGCCCGGCGCCGCCGCAACGTCCAGCGCACCCAGAGCGTGCCAGCCCAGGGCAAGGCCGGGCCGGGCAGCGCCGGCCACGCGGCCGAGGTGACAACGCCCGAGGGTGGCACCGGGTCACCCGCGCCCGGCGATGGCCCGGTGAGTGCCGGTGGCACCGGGCTGGGGTGGAGCTGCCCGGTGGTGCCACTCTGGGGTGGGCGCTGGTGGTCCGAGGGGTGTGGTGGCACTAACAGGGGTCTGGTGGCACTAGCGGGGGTGTGGTGGCACTAACGGGGGTCCGGTGGCACTAACAGGGGTCTGGTGGCATTAACGGGGGTCTGGTGGCACTGTCCAGGGTGTGGTGGCATTAAACAGGGGTCTGGTGGCATTAACGGGGGTGTGGTGGCACTAACAGGGGTCTGGTGGCACTAGCGGGGGTGTGGTGGCACTAACGGGGGTCTGGTGGCACTAACAGGGGTCTGGTGGCATTAACGGGGGTGTGGTGGCACTAACAGGGGGCTGGTGGCATTAACGGGGGTCTGGTGGCACTAACCGGGGTGTGGTGGCACTGTCCAAGGTGTGGTGGCATTAACGGGGGTCTGGTGGCACTAAATGGGGTGTGGTGGCACTAGCTGGCTTTTGGTGGCATTAACGGGGGTTTGGTGGCATTAACGGGGGTCTGGTGGCACTAAATGGGGTGTGGTGGCACTAGCTGGCTTTTGGTGGCATTAACGGGGGTTTGGTGGCATTAACGGGTGTCCCGGTGGCATTAACGCGTGTCCCGGTGTCAGTAACCGGTGCCCCCGTGACAATGACAGTGTCACAATGCCATTAACGGGACATTAATGGGTGGCCCGCTGCCATTAACGGGACATTAACGGGTAATCGATGACATTAACGAGACTTTAATGGGTGGCCCAATGCCATTAACGAGTGCCCCATGACATTAACGGGACATTAACGTGTGGGCCGGTGTTATTACCGGGTACCCGATGCCGTTACCGATTGTCCTAGTGCCATTACCGGGACATTACCGAGTGTCCAGTGCCATTACCGGGTGTCCGGTGCCATTACCGGGAGGTTAACGGATGTCCCAGTGACACTACCGGGTGTCCGGTCCCATTACCGGGAGGTTAACGGATGTCCCAGTGACATTACCGGGTGTCGCAGTGCCTTTACCGGGACATTACCGGGTGTCCGGTGCCATTACCGGGTATCCGGTGCCATTACCGGGACATTACCGGGTGTCCCGGTGCCATTACCGGGTGTCGCGGTGCCATTACCGGGACATTACCGGCTGTCCGGTGCCGTTACCGGGACATTAACGCTGTCGCTGTCGCAGCCCCGGGGGAAGCTGCGCTCGTCGGCGTCGCTGCCGCGCAAATCCGCGGTGCCGTGGCAGCGCCTGGCCGAGGACGCGGCGGCCCCGGGCGAGCTCTACGCGCTGCGGCCGCTCGAGAAGGTAACCCCGGAGCTGGGGACAGTCCCCGGTGTCCCTCGGTGTCCTCCCGGTGTCTTCCCGGTGTCCCCATGGTGTCCGTGTCCCGGTGTCCCCAGCACGGGCGGCTGCTGGAGGAGGTGACGGGGGTGGGTGACACCTCCCGGTAACCTCGTCCCCGGTGTCCCCAGCCCCCGATCCCCTCTCGGTGACCCCGTCCCGGTGTCCCCAAGCCCCGGTGAC